GAGAACGAAAACATTTTCACATGTCTTTGCCATAACTGTCGCCGTATTAATTTCATTGCCCACATTCTCAATCCAATAAGCATAAACGTTGGCTTGAAGTGTCGCATTTAATTCGATGACAGTAGTGTTCCCTCTTCCGTCGCCTTGCGTGGGATGCAGCATAAGCAGGCACCTGATTCCGGAAGAAAGTGAGCGGCGCGGGCGGGGGCGGGAGGGAGGTTGGAGAGTCAGTAAAAGTTTCGGCGAGCGCCATAAACCCGAAAGCGCCGCGCCCAAACAGCTCGTAACGCGGTGACGCAGCCACCGGCAGGGCCTCGCGCCGCCTCGCGCCTCGGCTGCCTGCGCGTCCTTCGAGGCGCGCGACGCGCTTCAACGCTCTTTCCGTGAAGCGGAGGGAATCGGTTCCCGCTTTGGGCACTCTCTTAGTTCAAGGCACACTTCTTGGAGGTAGTTGAGAAATGATTCATACTGTTAAAGCAATATATATATTCAATAGCACGTCGATAACCCGGGTTATTTAAGACCGGAGCCCCTTTCGGATTATCCGAAATTCGACATGAACCGAAAAAAGGACCGGTAGACAACTTTAACATAAAAAATGATTTCCTGTTTATAACTCTTTCAGAAAGTTCCTGACGTGTGGTGGTTGATTAAAATAATTAATGTAGTAATTCTTTACGTTCTTAATTAGACAAAATGTCCCGTTATATATCTACAATCTTGTAAGAAGTGACTGACTTATTTCGTGCCCAATAAGTCTAGAATTTGAAGAAAACACAGTACGTAAACAAGCATATGAAACATAAACTAATAATACACATATACATATCATTTATATTTTCATGCGATATTTTTGGTCAGAATAAAATGCGGATTTTTGCGATCCAAATTTTTGATAACCGAATTATTGACACTTCTGGAAAAGGAGAACCAATTTAAAATGCCACCCACCAGTCGAAGGTATTGAGAGCTTCGAAAACACCTTCATTAATTTGAAAATAAGTTTGATTTACTTTCATATTTCGTTTGGAAAACTAAAAACAAAATGAAACTTGTCTACGAAAATAAAATAATTAAATTTTCGCAATAAAATACAGAAATTTAGCTAATCCCTTTTTTCATTAGTTTTTGAGAGTATTAATTTCTCTGACCATTTCATTTTTGGCTACACTCTAAATCTTGGGTGAATGTTGGATTGTGTTTCACGGAAACTTCGTTTGAACGGCAAACGCTTACTTCATCGCTGTATTTTAATTTTGGAAACGGACAATTTGTAATTCAGTCATTATAATGACTGAGTTTAAAGTGAAGAATGTTGAACTAAATTTTTGATAAAGGGCTGAGATAGTTCCGTTCACCATTCACCGTTCCCCAATGTTATTTATTCATTTAATTACCGGCCTTAAGAACTAATGATAATGATGTAATAGTGAGGTTGACAGTATCTTGAGAGTATCTTGAAAGAAATTGTTGAACACAAGATGCATTATTGAACATTGAAAAGATAAAGGTCAACCTTGTATACTCCGAGGACCGCTCAATTAAAATTTTTCGTAATTAAATGCTAATTTCTCGAAGAAAAAAATTAGTTTTCAACAGCTGCTACGTTCATAAGCAAACAAATTCTTTTTGTTGGGAATTTTCAGTGTGTGAGGGAACAATATGTTTCAGACATGTGATGCATGCGTTCAACCTGAACTTACACGTTTCAGAAAACGATATTAGTGAAGCAAACATTTCGTGTTAGTCAAGCTGAGAATATTAATTGAGAATAGTCGACCTCCCATGTTGTCAAATGGATTTGTCCATTCGTTTGCCTACTCGCAAAGCGAGGACGGATATGTTAAAAATCTTCGGATGTGAATTGCCTTCTTCGCAAGGTCGGCATCTTGTTAGTGTACTAGCAAGAGTAATGTTTCGAGACTTAGGAAAGAGGTTTCAAGAGGTCAGGAGTTTTGAAGAACGGTTCTGCAAGCAACCACAATCTTCTTGGCTCATGAGAAATGGAAAATTATATTTCTGAATTGATAGGATATTTCTTGAACAAGAGTGTATGAGCATCGGCAATTACGAGTATATTATTCATGTAACGTAGCTTACGTAAATGCGTTCACGCCTTCCGTCTAATATAGCACATCATAAATTAGGTGACGTTAATATCTATAGATAAAACATAAATTGTTTCGATCAGCTTTTAACAAGACCGATGGATTACTCCAAATATTAAATTTAATTATATATCTCTCTTGTTTGAAATTAATTAAAATATTTAACAGAATGCATATAATAAAAATTTAACATATTAAAGAATCTCTTGATATTTCTACCTATGAAATTTTTATAGCAGTCTATCCTGAAGTAATAGAAACAGATTTGCTATATGAGAGAGAAATACTTCAAAGGTTTTTGTAAATATTTTAGTGGTAAATGCTGAAATATATAATATCGCGTTTTATAGTAACCCATTCTTCATTTCTTGGCATCAATTATTTGCCAACAGAACATATTGAAGAATGGTCTCTACATTTATCCGTACGAAAGATTTGTTGTTAACCCTGTTTATCTTTTTGCGGAAACGTTATGCTTGTTAGACAATATTCATGTAAACAACGAAAAAAGCTAAAATGTATAGAAAACATTCCGAGGTTGAATTATTTACTTTACTGTGGAACGAATGGTGTATTATTACAATGTGATTCGTTTAAACATTTTTACAAATCAATTATTTCACATTTACAGCAAAGAAAGACACACATATTTTTAATCGAAAAAAATGCCAATTGTCGTATGCTAATTTTTAACCATTACAACGATGTTGCTCTTGCGTTATATCTTTTAGAACGATAAAATGCTTTTCAATATCCCCTACTAGCGACCTCGGAGAAGTGGTAATATCTTTGTGCTAGGGGAGTACACACCTACGCCCGCGCCTCTCCCCGACAAGGCCTTTGCGACAGAAGAGGCAAGGGAGGGTACTAAAATAACGCGTATTTTATAACTAGCCTGATTTAACTAACCAAATGTGGAAATTACGATTTGGCCGGTTCCTTACGTCTGTATCAGTTGCTACAATTTTAAGTTTAAAACCAAATGAGATGAATTAAATCTTGCCTTTGTTTCACATTTTATTTTTACAATTTATGTTCAAAAGATTATCGAAATATATTGTTTGAGTCATTATACAGAAGCTTTTAATAAAAGTAAAACGAAACTGCGTGCTTGACTATCTTAACCCACTGTCAAGAAGATAATTTAAAATACATCATGCATCAGTTGTAATGTCAGGAATGGCAACCCTCGTGCTGTTTAGTGTGCGGACAAAAACAGCCCACTCGGGATGCTAGTGCCACTTCACGGCTCATTCGGAACGTCGTGTAAAGTCGTCAGCTCTTTCTCAAGCACCCTGTGCATCGCTGCGGGGATCATCAATTGCTGCCCTCCCCTCCCCCCCC